ATGTTGAAAACTGATTTCTTAGACTAGATCTGTACTTGCCAGTTTTTGACTCTCCTCACTCATGTCAGCTATAGAAAACTCTGTCAGCATACCACCGAGCTCTGGGGACTCAGCAACCACTGGTAAACTCTTCTGCAGTGCAGACAGGCCCTACTTAACCACTGATAAAGCGCCCTGCTTTACAAACCTGAAAAGATAAAATATTTCTTTGAACACTAAAGGCAGCTCAAAGGCTTATATTTACATAGCATGTAACTGCTGGTGTTGCGCAATTTGACCAGAGAGACTTTACTAAGCTCCCAGCACAGCAAGTATTACATAGCAACCTTATAAAAGAACTCTCCTGCATGCTCCCACTCCACCTTGAAAGCTAACTTTTGTTCCTCCTCCTCCTACAAAAGTTTGCCACTTCATATAACTTATGAGTGCCTTAAGGAGCAGTAAAATTCTTCACCCTAGAGGACAGGAAGAGAAACAAGAGGTTGAAAGAAATTAGAAAAAAAAAATATTTCAACCAGTAAGTTTATGTAAGTCACTAAAGAAAACCTGTTAATTCTAACTTACTGGAAGTCTGAAAAAGCATCTTAAACAGCATCTGTTAAGACTGGTATCAGTAGAGGGAATCGGTTAGATGAGCCAGATGGCCTATAAAGGCCCTCTCTAGACCTGTTTTTTGTGATCTTGTAATAGGGAGCATTAAAGACCAGATTAAGCAATCCCTAAGAGAGTTTCAAGAGCACCTGAGAAGCCACTAATCTATCTTCCAGTTTATCTTGTTCTTCCCTGAGTAAGGAATGTTAATTAAAGTATCTTAAGGAATTTGGACAGCAATTATAAATCTTCACAATAGTCAGCCTCAAGCAATTAAGAAAAACAACATTTCACATTTTATGTTGTGCTTTGTACTTTTCATGGATTAAAGTACTTTTCAGACTATATTCACATTTCAGCATGTACCATATATACTCTTCTAGCTGAAAGTGTTTGATTACCAATCACATGCCTAGTAGTTTTACAATAGAGAATCAGAGCAGCCTCTTTATGCACTCTGACAAGAAAATCTGGGGGCTACACAGGCGCAAATACCATACATCATTTGAAACATGCAAAAGGCTCACAGAAATTGCTTGTGCCACACCACATACAGCAAAGGACCCCTCTGCGCTCTGCACTTACAAGGACCAGGGTTCTGACATGAACGATGCCCAGGAATTTTTCCGTAGGATGCTGAAGAAAAATTTGGTCTGTAACAGATGTTAGTTTTTTTATTTGGAATAATAAAAACAGTATTAAAAACTGCCAGGATTTGAACATGCAGTTGCCAGGACAGCAGACAGTGGGAGTCATGTCCAGATCCCTAAACAGGATGATGCTGAAAGGAAGCTGCTGCTACAAGGCTCATGAAGCGTCTCCAGAATTAAAAAACAAACGAATAAACAGAAATGCTAAGGAGATATTACTTCCCTTTTCCGCGAGATTTCTCTTCCTTCAGAAATCTTCCAATATGCAAAAAATCACCTTTATTTTTAGTGGACCTTACTGCTCATAAACAGAGATTCAACTTCAAAAGCTGACTAACTTAACTAATAACTAAAAAAAAAAAATCTTGTCAAGAAGAGAAGAAAGTCCTTTGGTAATCAGAGCATTTTCATCTTGTCTGAAAGCGGAAATTTCTAGCAAAAACTTGATAGAGAAATCAACTTCTCTCCTGCCCTGCTCCTTTCTCCTGCAAAAAAAATAATCATGCAGTACAAAGAACTAACTACTGCAAACAATAACAAAAATTTCACTTTTTCTTCACCACCCCCCTCAAAAAACCCCATAAAATATGTCTTCCTGTTTGCTTTCCTTGTACAGGCAGAGACACTGATGCAATCTCTCCTCTCTGAAAAAGGAAATGCCCCTATCTCAGTCTGCATCTTTATCCCCCTCAGCAGCTTGACTAAGCAGATTAAAAGCAAAGACAAGTGCACTCTGAAGCAGCATTAAAGCCAGAACAAAAAACAACTGCAGGTTAAATGTGAAAGGGAAGTAGAGTCTGCTGCAAATGATTAGAAATTAAAATATGCTGGAAGAATGCAAACACACCAGGTACACCGTAGGTAGGTAACTTCCAGCACCTACAAGGATGCCAGCGATCCAGCACCATCCCTAACCTGTCCTCCGTCTCCCTGGGTTTTGTGGGAAGATTGATCACACTGAGAAAGTGCATTTTTAAATGAGAAAGAGTCAATATTAGTTAAATTAATTTTTTTCCTAGGTAGCATTTTGAAACTGTATTTGTATAAACTACTATTCTCATCTGCTACTGCACAGAACTAGGGAAGCAGTTAAAAAAAAGCACAACTTCTCTTGATACTTCTCTTGCTAGCCAGACACACTGCTCACTTGGGAGATGTTCAACTCTCCCTGCAAAATAACCAATAAGATACTGCACAAAAGGATAAAAATATATTCTTGCTCATCTAGTTATTTGTCACAAAAGGAGAATAAGTCTAAAAGACTTAAAAAAGAAAAAAAAAAAGATGACGATATGGACAAAATCACAAGAGAGCATTGCATTATGATGAGGAGTTCTTGTAAAAGGAAGACAAAACAATGCTCCAAAATTTATGTTCTCTGGCTTGTTTCCTCCAGAGCAGATGTGGGGACCCAGAACTTCACATCAACAAGAAAACAGATGAGTAGCAATAGCTTCTGTTAGAAATGCACTTAGCACACACTGAAAATGGTGGAAAAGAACTGATCAATTAACAGTGTATATCGTAAATTTGCTTATGATGTAAATACTACTCATCGTTTGTCACACACAACTATTAAATCTGATTATTTCCTCAAATTTCTTCTCAAATTACGACAGTTCCCTACAGACTACAAACCTAAACGCAGTTCCCAGGTAAAGACCACAGCAACCACTTCAAAAATGATCACCAGTTTGTGCGTCAGCTTTAGCAGACTCGCTACTTACGAGGTGCTGAATAAATAATCATGGATGTGTTGATGTCAATCATACATGTCCATAACAACTTAAACATCAAGGCCACATTTGAAATATAGCTTATCTATTGGCTAAAAATCTTAACTGACTTGTAAGGTTAGCTATGGTAAGGACTTCAGCTTCAAAAAGGTTATTTTTAGCTTTGTAATTCAGAAGAAGTAATTTATAAGTACAAAGAAATCAGACTTAAGGTAGCAGTAAACCAGACTACTGAGAAAAGTTCACATCGCTGCAACCTTAGTCAATGCTTTGAATGATACTTAAAAACAAAAAAAGGAAATTAGGAAGAGGCATAGCACTTAAGGTATCAACTGCTTGAGCTGCTACCCTGAGCTCTCAACAACACAACTCGGTGATACGATCATCCTTGCCCTTACTGCAACAACTCCAGCACTGCCTAAAAGTATTTTATAGCAGGGTTTGCATTAGTGCGCTTCAAGCAATCTTTGTTCAATCCATCAGAGGAATCCCCTTGCAATCTGCCTAATGCAGGACACATCTTTTACACAGCATGAAATGATTCAGGACATGCGAGAATTTCACCCATGACACAAGGTGGACACAGACACTCAGTTAATGCCTTACTTTGCAGTGTCTCTAGATTCTTAATTTTTTTTTATTTTTTTATTTTTTTTTGCATTGAGCCCTTCAAGTTTGAGGCCACAAAGACTGCTGGAAGTTACTGAGCAGACTTTACTAAATTTATAGGAACCCAGTGCGTTAACTTTACAAGTAATTTTATAACTATACAATTGCACTGCAAAGTACCCCCATATGCACTGTAAACAACAGAAATGTTTCACAGGGGAACGGAAGTTGGAAAGCACTGAGAGTATCCGCTAGCCTGGTGGGGCCAACTTTAAGGCTTTTATAAGCCTCACAGTGCTTCATGACTTTCTCAAAATCTTAACTCCTGGACAACTGTTAAAATCTGAGCTTGTTTTTGAAGCTAGGTGGTAGTTTCAGAAACCCTCAGCCCAAACCATTTCTACAAACAAACAAAGCAGTCCTGCTTTCTCACCCCGCTCAGCAGCTCATTCCTGTCTCTGTGCCGCCCTTGCTTTCTGCGGGTGCAAGCCCTGAAGCGAATCACATTTAGGAACAGATCCATTCTAGCTTTTAGCTGTGCCAAATCTACCTGCATTCGTGCCCCAACCCAGTTTATCTGGAGCTGCACAAACATTCACCCCAGCACAAAGGGATGCAGAGGCTATAAACCACATCTGCTTCTTTCAGTAGCTGTACTGGCTTAAAAATTATTCATGAAATTATGGCCTGTATTTCCAGACAGATAAAAGTTTCAGAATTTCTCCCCATTTCACCCTAAAGGCAAATATCATTTGGGAGATTCACTGAGGCATGACTCCAGATATTGCAGCACAAGGCTTAACATATTGGGAACCGCACCGGTCCCAGGTGCTTCAGCAGTACAAAGTGGGGCAAATAGCCTGGTCCTGTACCCAAAGCAGGCTACAGGGGATTTGCTCTCAGCTTCACCAAGAATTTGACCCAAACAGAAAAGAACTAAACCAAAAAATGCCCAGGGTACACAAGCGCATTTAAAGCCCATCTTCACATTCAGCACATACGTACGACATGTCAATCCACATTTACATTGCATCAACACTGGACAGGCACTTCAGAACTTCTCTGTAAATATCAAATGCTGCAGCCAAAGCAAACTTGCATATAAATGTAATGTAAAGTTTTCAGAGTTCTTGCAGTAATTTTAAAAATCATACCAATGTGTGCAGCATTTTGTCCCAGGTACCAGTACCAGCTACCTACATACACTGGTTGTGAACATGATACAGTCTTCAAGTCAACAGATCTGTTCCACTCACTCAATAGCCAAGACCTATACTTCTGCATCCTGATGCAGAACAAACATTTGAAGCATCAGCACCCTCTCACCAATATGGAAATCATGTGTGATAACTCTTATTTACTGTATAATATAGACAACAAGGAGAAAGCTACATAGCGAGGCATTTTCACTTACGTGGTTTATATAGAGACTCTTGCGTTTTTCTCTCACTGCAAAAACACAAAATATGATAGAAATATTACATGACTATTTTTCCTGATTAAGCTTCTTATATACCATTTATAATAAAAAGAACAGGAGGCTATCTATGTGCAACATTATAATTGCTTTTGCGCTAACCATGTATATTTATATATCAAACACAGAAGGAACACATATCTGTATGCATAAAGGCATTTATGCTCAATAGTGTGGTGATGGATTAAAATTCTCATCCATTTGGGTACTTCACCAGGCATTGGTCCACATGGGAAAGTTAATATGCAGCAAGCTACAGTCCAAGCTAGCAATGGATCAGCCATCCTTCACCAGTGAGGGTACTGCTGAGCCACCAGTGCCTTGTGCAAGGTACCTTGCTGCAAAGCGGCCTACGCTACCCTGCAGGTATGAAAGCACCTACATAGCCACACCATGGAGTTAGCAAATTCTCATCAGAGTTTATGGTGCACTAACTCCCATAGAGCAGCCTTGAAACCATATGCATTACACCACTGCCTTCTGTAGTGATCAGTTGCAAGCCTGAAACTATTACTCATGTCGGATATAACAATGAAAATACATTACTTTGGTGAGCATGAACCAGTCACAACAAGAAAGGGTTGCAAGTCAGAGACATAGATAGCCAAAATATTCAGAAAGTAAACAGCAACAACAAGGGAGATAGATGTATAGAGTCTTAATTGTCAGGCAAATGTTTATTACAGCTGATTAAATACAATCTATTTAATTTTTTAAAGCACTCTCCCAATTAACTCACCCCATAGAGAGCCTGTGGAGCCCTGTTTCAGTGAAAATACCACAACGTTTAGGATTCAAGTCTGGAGGCAACTAACACATAAATCAAAGTGCAGGGTTAAAATAATGGTTTCATGCTGTAGGTGATTAAATGCACTTCAGTGCATCATGATTTGAAAGCTATGCAACCCAATGCACTTAGCAAAAGAAGAGCGTTCATAATGGCAGGATAGCCTGTCCATTCCCTGTTGGATGAGAAGCCATTATTTGTGATTTTTTTATAAGCAAGCAATCTCACATAAACAAGCCTGTATGTGCAAATACTGTGAAATAATTGTGTTTAATGCAAACATAAAATGAAAAGAAAATAAGAAAAAACTTTTAAAAATCCTTACATAATTTTCCTCCCAGGGAGCAGAAAGGAGAATCACACATGACAGATGTTAGCCATGTCACTTAGCACATGCTCAGATCCACAATTATGGACATTGTATAAGAAACAGAATTTAAAAGGAACAGTAGGAAAATTCTGATCATCTAGTAAATAGTTAAACTGCTTGA